ATTAAAAAATACGCAAATCAGATATCAAAGCTGTATCACATACGCAATCAAACTGAAAAGCAACGCACATGTCGCAATATTGTGTAAGATTGCAATCTTTTGAATTAATCAAGCTTAACAAGAATTAATTTAGTCAGATACTAAAGATATATCACAAGACAATTTACATTTATCTTTGACAATATTATCAGTAGCGTGTGCGCGATATTATATGTATCTAATATATGTAAGAAGCTTTAGAGAACGTTTAAAATGAGATTTAAAAAATATTCGTATATATTTTCTGATACAAAACACTGTTTTTAAAATCTAACATATTTAATTTATAATAATGGACATTTTCATGTGAGAGATTAAAATCTGGAAAAAATATTGTGAATTTATTAGATATTTAATAGGCTTTCTAATGCAAACTGAATGCAAAGAATCTAATTTTTAATAGTTTATAGTGAATTTATATTAAATTCAGTTTCCAGTTTTTCAATCATATTTGGAAGTATAAATATTCATATTTTATTGCGACAACTATTGTACTTAGCCTTCCACGTATTAGGTTCTTTTCGAAAAGGCCTATCATTCGCTGACATATCGAAATGCTTGTGATATCTGGTGCAATACTGTCATGTATGATAATGCGATTGTTATATTGCAATATTAAAGTTATATGTATTATACATCAAAACATTGGGAAAAATATAAAAAGATTTCATAGATTATTCTACCTCTGTTTTGTGTAAACACTAAACATCTCTGAAAGATTTTGTTTTGTTTTAGTTGTTTTATTTAATTTTTAAATTTGCACTGACTTTTATAGAAAAAATATTGTAACTCTAGTACAGAAACTAAAAAAACATATTTAGAATATATATTTTGTTGTAAAATTCTCGGCTTGATACACGTAATTGATTATCTTTATACATTTTATACATGTTTAATTTATTCGCTTATTCAAATCGATAATAATTTAAATATTATTTCTTTATAAATTATTAGTTATTTTTATGTCTTGCAATTGATTTCAAAGGCTATTTCCCAAGTAGAAAACAAAAAATTTTGCTATTTAAACAAATTGAGATTTATTTTGCCAAAAATGAACTGGGATTTAAACGAGATCTTTCGGAAAAGAACGCTCATAAAAATTTAGATAGACCTTCACTTGGTAAGTTCGTTTCATCATTCAATTATAATTTCCTATTCAACGATATAAATATAATATAACATATGTGTGTGATAACTATATATTATTGAATGAAAAATTATAATTTATGAACAATACGAAGCAAGAAATGAGATTTTAAGGCGAAAGACCACAGCTTGTAGCGATATTCGCAAATCCTTAAGCAGGACTAGAACGTGTCGGTCGCCTGTTCTATTAACGCAAACCGTCTCCTGCAGTTCAATTATCATTTAACCTTCGCTCTCGACGAATAAAGATAGTCAACAATAAACGGCAGCTGCGCTTCCACGTGATGGAAGCCTGGCAGTTGTAAGAACATATTATTTTTTCAACGCTATTTCCGTGGATTTGCATTGTTACTTGCATTTTGGCATTTATCTCAATGTTACGTGAGATCACTTCCGCGACGCAATACCCAGAATTATATTCTATGCTAATGTTCCTTGAAGACATAGGAGAATCTAGTTTTTTTACTAGAAAATGCATAAAGAGAAAATATTTGCATAAATTCATAAACAATATGTATTTTGTTACAAAGCTGGAATTCAATTGGATGTTTTAGTATTTCTTGCTATAAGTATTTTATATATATATATATACATATATACATGTATAATAAAAATTATATAATAAAATATAAATATAAATTGACACTCAATAATGTACAATTTATTTTCGTTATAATAAATACCGCATTTT